TATGGTATTTTTCTATTAACTCTTCACTAAACTTTTTCAAGACATGTTACTAATTTTCAATTGTTTTGCCTGTTGTAATCCAGTATTGCTGATATTAATTATTTAATTATTTTCTCATATCTTTTTCAAATGGTTTTAGAAAAATAAGTGGTTAACATTTTTTGTGAAGCGGTTTTTTAAACGAATATGTTTCAACTTATTTTTCTCATTCTTGACAGACTTAATTGAAAAAAAATATAAAAACAAATTAAATAAAACATATCTGGTTATTTTCAATAGCGATTTCTTCTTGCCACTGCTATATTAGATTTCGCTATGTGCAATGTAGAATTCATCTTTTGAAAAAGAACTGTGGATTAAATATTTTACATCGTTGGTCGGATTACTCAATAACTTATTCAATAAATTAAGATGTATTATGATAATATGTTTTATTTATTTTATTATGTTTTATATGGATTGTATTTTCTTAAGAAATACATATTAAGTTTTAACCCTGTTATAATCAATAAGTTATTTATTCTGTTTTGTATGAGATAATTTATCAGGTTAAGTGGTAACTGTCACTGGACATAGCTAGGCGATACAACGCTATCACTGCCAGAACATCACCGACTATTGCGTAATGTCAGTTTTTGAGATAATGGCTGATGATTTGGTTCTTCTCTGGCTCATAGGAAGTCTAATAGCAACATTGTTGATTATTTAGTTTTAAAATTTCCTCTTTGCCATATCGTGTATGGTTAAGTATTATCACTAGCGGATTCAGGATTTAATTTTGGGGGGCTTCAGCCCGAAAGCTTTTTTTTTTCATATAAATGACGATAATTACTTTAGAAAACAAGAAAGAAACTAACTATCTATATGAAATGGTGTTTAAGTGAACAACTCCTTAAGTCCTTTTAAATGTAATTACACGAACAATAATACTTTACTAGATAATTTTTGAATAGGAATACTTCAAGAGGTGTTAGACACCAAAAGCAAAAAAAAGTTAATATGGATCTTTTTTTCAGAACGTCGACGATGGAGTATAATTAATAAAATATTTATTTAAAAACAAAAATGGTTACTTAAAAAAAAAAAAAAATAAAACCCAAATTTATTATACAAATTGTTCTCATCATTCAATAAATGATTAATTATAAGTAAGAGTAAAAAATAGGCACATCTAATGATGGTCACCTAATACCATATCGGCCAATAATCATAATTGATGTGTCCGACCAAAACATTGATATGCCATGGTAAAAATTCTAAATTCAACACTGAGCTCAGAAATGATCCTATATCATTGATGTGCTCAATGCTGGGTTAAGGAACTTGCCTTATTACTTTTGTTAATTTTTATTTTTTACTAGTAGCACTTTTTAAAAATTATTTTCAATCATGAACATTTCTAATCGACCAAGAAAAATCAAAGATAGCCCTTTTCAAAATTTGAGGATTTTCATTTAAGATGTATATAATCCGAAAATCATATATGATGAAAAAAACTCCGCGTGTCCACCGTACGCCATCCGCGGCTTTTCCATATTACTGGCACAATATTTTGAAGATTTAGTATTGATGTCAAAGGTCAAAGGTCGCTCGAGGATGATCTTCGGTAATCGACACTATTATCCTACCTTTCGTTTAATATAGCGACAGAAAAGTCAGTGTCGCAAAAGATTGAAGCGTCCAAGCAATTTTGATGAAACTTGACTAATGTTTCCTCATAAATTTATGTATATAACTTCCTCGAAAAGAAGCTAGAAACAAATCTTCGATGAATGGCGAATTATATTTTCGATAATGTTTTTATGTATACTTATTTGAAAGTATACATTTTTTGAAAAATAAAAAACAATTAATTGAAATTGGACTTGGCAAAGATATATTGTTATGAAGCTTTAGCACATGTTTCACTTCATAGCCGATATTTGTTTTTGTTTTTTTATTACGGAAAAAACTTAAAATTAACTGAAACAATCGAGATTATGTTCTTTATTTCTTTACAAGACGTGAATAGAAAATATTTTTAATCAGGCTAATATTAGCAAACAACTGTTATATTTACTTTTCTCCAAAAGTGTCAAGGAAAGTAGTTTGACATGCCATACAAATTTGATGTATAGCGATTTCGAAAGAAACCATTGTGTAATAATTTGCAGCTTTATTATGAATAAGAAGGGAAGAAGAAATGACCTTATTATAATACATAACTGGTCTCAGAAAAAAAATTTGTATTAGTTTGCTGTTAGTTTTTGCTAAAATGACTAATACTATGGTAATATTAAATTTATATATATACTTGATTATTAAACTTTAGTAAACTGATTTTGGAGTTAAATAATGTTTTTTTTTTTAATAAAACTAGTGGACATCTATCCTTAGGTAGGTAAAATGTTTGAAAATCAGCATCTTGTTTTCTGAGATCATGCACTATTAGTCCCAGAGTTCATGAGGAAGAACGACATTTTTTGATGAAAAAATGCTTATAATGTTTTCATCAAATAATGTCGATTAATTTTCTCACGGGCTCTTGGACTACATTACAGATTAAGAGCCTGGACTATCTGGGTAAATATAAATGTTTTGTTGCTATTGTTTTTAGTTTAAGGTAAAGGCAAAACAGTTCAGTCGCTTTTTCTCCTTTGTTTCTCGACCAATTTTGTTTTTCCTTTTTTAGCAGCTATCGATGAGTTTGTGATATCAATAAAAAATATTGGAAACAATGTATATAAATAAAAATTGTTAGTTCTTTCAAAACAGCTAATCACCGAAAATTCTTACTTGATTGCTTTGAAATTTGATACAACATTGCAGTCAAATTCAGGAGTGTTTTTATATATATTTCATTGCTAGACGGCATTTTGTTTCGAAATGGCTGCCGAAAAACGTTAGTCGCTACAAACTACAGCTTCAAAACGGCTGTAACAATTTTAATGAGTATTTGATAGCTTCCTTAATAACATACAAAACGAAAAAAAAAATCGAAATTTAAAATAATACAGTTCGATAAGATATTCTTATTACATTTTTTTTTCGATTTATATATTTTAGGATAGCTCTAGTATGACAAATTTGTAATTGGCATATTACTGTAGTATAGGCTCAATGTTGAAATGAAGCAATTATTAAAGACCGAAGGAGCAAAGGGGGTTTAACTAATTTTTGAAAAAGTAACGATGGGTTCCGAATTTTATTTGCAAATAACTCAAAACGTACACAAATGGTACTGCACTGTTTTGTATTTAAGTACATATAAAAGCGTATGTACGAATGTGTAAAAGGAGAAAAAAATTGTCGGAAGCATGCAAAATTATGATTATGGTCTAATTTCGACCACTGGAAGAACACACTTAAGCCAGGGCTTAAAAAGCGACCTCATCGTTGACGAAGGTGTGAATGTAAATTACGAAAGTGTATGTTGTTATAAGTAAAATGAACCTTGTCTGTTATTCCAGACTTGCTGCTTTTAAAACAGCGGCTGATTTAAAGAATGTTAGATCTGTAACTTGGAAAAAGTGTTTACTTGTTTAAATTGTATTTATGGGATCATGAATACAAGTTAGAAAACAAAACTTCTATTTCGGGCCACCAACGAACGCTGATTTTTACCAAATTTGTCAAAAACTGAGCCAATTGCTAGAAATGGCCCTGAAGCTTGGAAATGAGTTCTATAAGAAAAAAAACTCATAGAATCTAAGTTATAATTATCAAATTCTGTATGTAGGAAATCTGTAGTCCAGTAGGAAGCTAATAAAAAATAATGGGACTGATCCACGATTTTTAAATGGAAAAACTTGACCTTGTGTTGGTTTGCCACTTTAATGCTTGCCCCCTTATAATAGTTGTAACAAGGGTAGGTTATGGACCTAGGATCACTTATTTTAATACGTTTTTAGTCATACTAGGTCAAGAAATACCCCTATCGGAGGGTTCTTGCCAATCTTCTATCTTAGGAACCGAGAAATAATATTTTATACAATATTATCATTTTTAAAATATTATTTTACACCATTACTTTATATGGACTTTTAACTTACCAGTCAATTTGTTTTTTTGTGTAAAGTAAGAAAAATACATTGTTGTTTACATAGGGGCCTGCAGTGTAGTGTGGTGCGAGACACTTCTACCTCTTCCATCTTTCAATTTTTCATGAAATGGGTCAGATATTACAATCTTTTCAGTATTTTACTGTTATTTACTTTTAACTCTGTCATTAATCCCCCATCCTCTACTCTGTCCTGAGAAAAAACTCAAGGTAGGAGGAGAAAAAATGTTATTTACTTTTAATTATATTACAGGTAGTTAAATGATGTTAACCAGTTGATGTATGTCGTTCTAAACTTGGCTCTCTAATATCTCTTAATTGAAATGTATGAGAAATTACAAATTAAATTCCGTTTGTCAATATGGCAATATGTCTCATCTTCTGTCTTAAGCACTAATAAAACTTGACCTGCTATTCGATAAAACAATATCTGCTAGTCATTGAGAAACAAATTAATTCGTCATTATTTTTCTGTTTTAAAATTGATATTTTGCTCTTTAAATCTACTTTGCAAATAATTTCAATGAAAACTGAAATTTCCTAATATGATGTTAATTTTTATAATTATTTCTATTATTTAAAATGAATATTATTTCAATATATTGAATTTCTAAAACAAACATTCCTATTTTTATCTTGTGGCCACCGCATTTTTTGTTGACTTTGGATTGTTATAGTAAATTTATACTGACTAAAAAAGTTCATATGAATAAAATGCAAATCCAGCCTTTAGTGTGTGAAATTGTGAAAATAATTGAAATTGAAGTTACTTGCAAACAATGAATGATAAGTAATGACTAATAAAAAATCCTCACTCATCCTTGTAATATTTAAATAATAAAAAAGATCATTGGGAGAAACAAATTAATTCATCATTATTTTTTCTCTTTTAAAACTTATATTTTGCTAGTGGAGTCCATTTTGTAAATAATTTAAATGAAAATTGAAATTTTGATTTTAGGAAAAAGACAATTATGGGAATGAGGTGAGCAAGCTTGCAAGGCCACTACCTGTGGAATATCTGCTAGTCGATGTCCCAGTCTCTACACCTCTCTCTCCTCTCTACACCTTCAGGTCTGACCCAACCAAGACACCATTTCCTGTTGAAAACAGGTATTTATTTTTAATTTATAGCTAGAGATTAATTTATTCATTTCCTAAATTCATATCAGGCAATGTTTAGTGGCATTAAGAGAGTCGCTATAGTATTTTTAGTTATAAAGTAGAATAACTTTGTTAGTTTATAAACTGACCTATTGGTTGATTATTATAAATAGTGTGATAGTGGAAGGAGGCACTAGCGGATCCAGGATTTAATTTGGGGGGGGGGGCTTCAACCCGAAAGGTTTTTTTAAAATATACATATAACGATAATCAATTTGAAAAAAAAAAGAAAGAGATTAACTACCTGTATGAAATGGTGTTTAAATGGTTCTTGAAGTCTTATTAAATATAATTACATGAACAAGAATAGTATAAGAGATAGTTTTTAATATTTTTTTCTGTAAAACATGGTTATATTTTACCATTTTTGGGGGAGGCTTCAGCCCGAAAGCCCCCCCTCCTCTCCCCGTAAATCCGCCTGTGAAGAAAGGTGCACACTGTGGTGAGAGATGAATGATTGTAAGAAGCACTGTCCATGCTGGATTTATAAAGGTGTAATGTGGAGAAAATAAGAGACATGAAACTTTTAGTAAAACTCTCTGTCTCATTATAAACTTCTATTACGTATGCAATAGTTTGATTCTGTTATGGTTCGTTAATATTAAAGAAATCGTATATTTTATATACGAGAACTTAGATATGTGAGGTTTCACTATACATTTCCTGTTAACTTGTAAAAACAAAAATATTATAATAACTGTATTTTTATTATATCTACAATTTTCCAGTTGTTCTAGTATTTTTAGCTTTTAAGATCATATTACAAGCAATTTTTTTTTCTTAACCTCTTGTTTGAAATTCTTTCGAAGGGACAATACATGCTTAATATAATTCAATATTCTTATGAAATTTGGATATTAAAAGCTTTATTTCAAATATACTTACTACATATATTTGCTTATTTATAAATATTATTAGAAAAGTGTGTATAAAAAAAATTGTAATAACAATGTACAAAAAAAAAAATTGTAATAGCAATGTACAAAAGGTATATCTACAGGATTACGCTAGTGCTTATTTACAAACACTGAAATTAAACAAACTTTTATTTTATAAAAATATTGTTCCTACTTATGTTTGTAAGTTGTTTTTTCATTTAAAAGAAAATTGTTCAGAAATAATTAAGGTATTTATAATTTTTATTTATACATTATTTTATGCGCCATGGATTTATTTGTTTTTATTAATGTTTTAGGCTTTTAGACAAGCATATTCAGGACTTCAGTGCATTCTCATCTTATATGCGCCAGTTCTCTTCTGACCAGTTTTTGTTGGCTGTTAGTGATTTCCATGTTCTGCTTTATATTGCCACAATGGAGATGCTTCCTTTGAGGGTAAACAATATTTTTATCAATAGCTGGTTTAAAAAGATAACATAACTTCTAATAAAAATTTTCATTGTCTATATTGATATCTGTAATATCTATTATTTTTTCTTAAATATCAGAATTTTCTCCTGCAAATATTATTGCTTAAATTTTCAAATTGAGCATTTAGAATGTTTCAGGAGATTTATAGTTTTGAAATTAATTTGTAAAGTAAAACTGAAGTTATACACCGATAGAACTGAAGTTATATGGTTTATAAAAGCAGATGAGGTAACTAGATTTTTATAGCCTACCGTCGATATAATAAATCAACCTCTTGTAATTATAATGATCTTAATGGTTTGTTATCTGTAAGCTTTAAGCTTTATCTCCGTTTAAAATGCACTTCAAAATTTTTATAAAAGCCCAGCATTGCCAATAGATATTCAAAGTAGAGTGATAAGTGAAAGTTGCGTATTGCATGGACTAGATTTTTTCTCCAATATTTGCTGTAAAGAAAATATTTGATCAATAGTTGAACAATTGAACATTTTTATCTTTTTTTTTACCAAGTCTAAACGTTTTACTTTAAAAATGAAATACACTGCAATCTCAGTATTCAGAAAAAAATTAAATAAAAATTGTAAAAACAAGTAGCAAAAAATACTTACAAATACTGCCAGAAGACCTTTATGATAAAGGAAAAAAATCTGATAACTTAATACTTTTTATTAACACAATGCATGCGCTCAATAGTCCTCAGTAGGCCACAATTCATTAACAGCTATAAAAAAACAAAAACAATAATTTTTTTTTATAGAAAAAAATTCCAGCCATGCTGCTAAAGTCTAATAAGTAAAATTTTATTAGAAAGTGCATTTTGAACTTTTCTGTTTGATATTACCTTTAAACATATTCATAAATACAAACCAATAACATTATTTAAGGTATTACTTTTATAATATTGAAGAGTAATAAAATACTTGATTTGTTTTAGGATCATCTAAAGCCTTTGATAAAAGCAATCCGAGAACGTGATCAAAATGCTGCCGCTGAGTGGGCCCACTCAGACCAATGGGCGACAGTGGGCGCACTAATTGCTGCTCACCATGGCAACCAGCCCCAACAGGAATGGACTTGTCCTCACTGTACTTTCCTCAACTTGCCCCATCTTTCAGCGTGTGACATGTGTTCACTTCCTAGGTAGCCCTTCGGTTGATGCTCTATATGGGCACCATACTTCGTTCATCGTCAACAGCTACCTTTTTCTGTTGATCCATATCTTTTGGATCATCTCATGTCTGTTGAATTGTATTTTATTTATGCCTGTCCTTTTCCATCTGTGCCTCATCAAAACAGCAATAAACATGAAACTTAAAAAAAAAAAATTGTAACAATATCTGATTCCCTTAAATATTGCTTTTTATTTGTATTTTTTTTTCCAGCAGTCCTAATTTATATTTGAAATATTATGTTACTTTTGGCGGTTTTAATTTTAAGGTATATCACATATCTTTTTTTTTCTTTTAATAAATAAATACTAATTCGCACATGATAGAGCCTTTGTTTGGTAGCTGAAAATTGAGGAGTTTTTATCTGATGAAACGGTAACAGCGATATACTGATGGATGAAGAGAAGTCAGTAATACTTGTATCTATCAACTTTAAACCATTAATTGAAAATTTTGGAAACATGAGAGCAAGCTGGAATTACATGAAAACATCTATTTCAAAACTATTTTATTTCAATAGAGTGTAAATAAATATTTGTTGTCTCTGTGAAAGCATTGTTTATAAAATTGACAAGAAAGTGTTAGTTGTTAAAGTTTTTGTACTATTTAAATGGTTTTTAACCAGACACAAACAAAAAAATAATAAATTAAGTTTTAAATTAAGCAGTTTAAATTTTATTAATTATTTCCTTCACCCCTTAAGGAAGTATTTCTATCTTGTATTTCTTTACCATGCATATGTATGCTCATTTATACCTGTTAAAGATCTGTTAAATAAAAATCTAATAATGGAATATGATGATAAATAAACATTCATTCAGATTGTGCTTGTAAATTATATTTTACTATTTTTTTAACCCTAAATTTTGTTTTATGTTGTGGTTTAGTTTTAATGTAATACCTAAATCTATTTTGAAACTGAATGGAATTTGTTTATATTATTTATTTTTGCAATTTCCTTCCGTTGTGTGTTCACTTCAAATCTTCAAATAGCAGAAGTTGGTTGATGAACTTCAATGACTGCATCCCACTAGTAACTTCTACAATTCATTCTATGGCAAAAATATCTTCACCTTTATGAAATTGATTACAAATTGGAAAAAGTATTATTTAAATTTAAAAATAAAGTTAATTATCAATTTGGTAATATTCTCATGTTGGCAATATGTTTTTTAAGTTTTATTCTCTCTTTTTCCTTTTTTTTTTTTTTTTTTTGTTATAATCTTATATTTTTTATTCTTTTCTGTTTGAACACCAAATCTTATATGTCTCAAGCAGTTTTGATTAATAACAAGAACAAAAAATTTAACTATTTATTAATTATTTTTGTTAATAGTTTACAATTAAATTGTCATTTTAGAAACCTTGTAATGCACACTAATACAATTCATCCGTTCACTTCAGGACATATGCAAAATAAATTAACAAGTAATTTGTATATTGTATAAGGGCACTAGCGGATCCAGGATTTAATTTTGGGGGGGGCTTCAGCCCGGAAGATTTTTTTTCATAAAAATAACGATATTTACTTTGGAAAAACAGAAAGAAACTAACTATCTATATGAAATGGTGTTTAAATGACTCCTTAAGTCCTTTTAAATGTAATTAAACCAACAATAATACTTTAAGAGATATTTTTTAATTTTTTTCCCCCGTAAAACGTGGTTATGTTTCACCATTTTGGGGGGGGGGCTTCAGCCCGAAAGCTCCCCCCCGTAGATCCGCCCGTGTATAAGGGTATAACACTTATAAATGTTAACAACTAATTAGCTTTCCCAAATAACTTATTCCCATTGAGATAACTTCAGACTAACTTGAAATCAGTAGGAACTGATTCTACTCTGAGACCAGCTAGTTTATGACAGACTGACTTAAACTGAACTTAACTGAACTAAAGAGGATCAAATTCTTTTTTTTGTAGAGGCAGCCAGGTTGTGGCAATTCCTGAATGTTGCAGAATCTTATGGATTCAATGTTATTTGATTTTATGAATGCTTAATCCGATCTCCTTAATTTATTCTATATTATATTATTATACTGTATTTATCCTTATTTTATGCTATATTACATTATAGAATTTTGAATAGTTGACCGTTGCATTATAAAGACAGGAGATGGTCTGGGGTGACGGTCATAAATAGGCTAAATAGTGGCAAAACTATTCTATTAAAAGCCAACGTTTCGACCAGACTTTGTAGGTCTTCAGGGAGGTGTGTTCAGCTAGGAGTTTCACTTTTCATTTCTAAGTGAAACTCTTAGCTGAACACACCTCCCTGAAGAACACCTACAAAGTCGGGTCGAAATGTTGGCTTTTAATAGAATAGTTTTGCCACTATTTAGCCTATTTATGACGGCCACCCCAGCCCAGACCATCTCCTTCCTATATTCCATCATACTTCCTCTTTGATTTCATTCTTTTTCGTTTTCTTTCATCACACGTTCATGTATTGCACATAGATCATTAATACTCCATTATTATTTAATGTTTATTACCTCTACATTATACCATCTCCTTAATTGCTTTATAAAAGACTTACTCATTTCCGTTTAACTTTCAGATTTCATTTTCTTTTATCTCATATTATCTCCAGATACCTTATTTCCATCCTCTTTTGATTACAAATTAATTTAATAACCCACAAAATTTATCTATAATAAATCTCTCTTCCATTATATATATTTCTGTGCTTTAGTTCATGTATTTCAGTTAACCGTTACAGATGGCGCTATCTTGCTCTACTCTTCCCTGCTATAATACCTTTGCCTTTCCACCACTCTTCGATTGACCATGTCTATTTATCGGCTTCCGCCATCAGAGATCTTGCAGCTCAGTACCATTCACATTTGGACGACGTGGTATCTCTTATGTTCAACGAGCGCGAGCATACACCTAAATGCACTGCCTCCATATTTGCTTTCAAATTACATAGGTTGCAATGTGGAGAGTCTGCCACTCCTATCTATGCAGGTTCTTCCTAAGGTAGTCGTGGCCTGTTATAAGGAACTCTTCCACATCCTCCTTTCTCGGAAGGTTCATGTGAACTCTATCCGCTTCATTAAACAAATTTCTCCGCTGCTTTTCCACAATACAGCTCTTTACGGAATCCAGTAATAGAGCCTCACTGCCCTTATTTATTTCTTTTTTAGCTCTTTGATATGATATTTCGTTTTCTGGCTGGTTCAATGTGGATCCCTCCTTGGCGAGTTTATCAGCCACTTTGTTTCCATGGAGACCCCAGTGACTTGGTATCCACTGAAATAATACCTCTGTTCCTCGAAGAAGTAGTTCCTCTATGATCTTTTGGCACCTGAGAATATCTTAAGCAAAAGAATCATTTGGCAATGACTCAACGAGAATAGCCGCCTTTGGATTCACAAACAATATTTGGCATCTAAGTATGACAAGGCTTGCAGTGCTAATAAAATTTATCTTGTTTCGCTGTCGAAATTTGAGACCCATTTCCCAGCCGGTTTCGAAATAGCAAATAGTTGAGAGTATGCCTGCCACTCTATTGTGTGTTACTAGTTCGGAAGATCTATCTGTGTACACATGATTCCACAGAGGGCTTGGATAGCGTTCAGCAACCGTTTCAAGAGCCAAGGATCTTAGTTCTAGGAGGTGTCGATTGTTTTGAAGGCTATTCGATGTTGTATTCCCACTTACCATTCTCTACTTTGTTTCGTTTAGTTCCATGGTTAGCCCAGTCAAATTAGACATATTACCTTTCAAAACGTCGTGTTATTCAAATTTCTTTTGTATATTGTTAGGTATGTAGTGAAAATCCAAGTTTCCGTTCTTGAAAGCCTTGTGGATTCCCTGCAGTACCCTAAAAACCATTGAAATTGCGAACTTTTTTTGGTTTACACTAAATATCTCCTTTTTAGAGCGACATAGATAAAAAAGATTATATTCAATCTTAAATTGCTTAAAATTATCTAACATTTTTGTACATACATTTTTTTTCTAAATCCAACAGGAAATGAACTATCGAACTTTCAAAATGTACCCATTTCTATTTCTTCACAATAGTGTTCTTTCAGTTTTGAACTGAAGAATTCTGTAAAACCATTTTGTATATCATCCAGGGAATTTGGAGGTTTTCTTGAAGATGAGACATTGACTGGAATGATAGGCGGTAGTTGGAAGGTGTTTGAAAAGTATGTTATATAGATCCTCCCCGCATATCCCAGTAAATTGCAACAAAATTGTATTCTGTGTAACTATGTGTTTAAAAAAATCCAATGTTCCCCCCAAAAAATGTGGCCACACTATCCCAAAATGATGGATTGACATCTTTGACGAGTTAGTTTATCAGTCACTGAGATTCAGTATTTGCCTTAATTTCATCATAATTGGCTTTTTGTTAAAGCTGGATAGTTAAAGAATAATAAATGAAAAAATATTATAAAGTAATTGGCCTTAGAAATAAAAAACACCAGTAAATTTTATTTCTTTAAATCATTCAAACTAAAGTATAAATTCAAGTGTCGTTTGTAAATGAACGGCCAACAATAACTAGAAAACGTCCCTAAATAAAACATTTATATTTTAAAACACTTATTACTTTTTAAAATGTTTTAAGCGGTTACTTAGAAAATATACTCAATTGCCGGAAAAGCGGCACTGGCATAGGCGTCTAGAGTTCTCTGCCACATCAATCAATACCTGAATATGACATAGTTATAGTTTATAATAATAGCGTATTTAGTACATTATTTTGATTGTATTAACTAGCAAATACTAATACAATAATTTAATTGTCCAGAATAATATTGAAATGGTAACAATCTGTAAGAACACAAATGTATGTAATTTAGATAATATTAATTATTTAAAAATGTGTTAAAATAAAGTTAATTTAAAAGTAACAACAAAAATAGTAATTGTTGATGATCAATTTCATTAAAATAAGTGTAAAATATTAAAAATATAATTATAAGGTTGTTCGAATATCAAAAAATTAATTTAGTAAGGAGATAGTCCGGGATGGCGGTCATAAAAAGACTAAAATAGTAAAAAACTATTTTATTTAAATCCAACGTTTCGACCCGAATTTGCAGGTCTCCTTCAGGAGGTTGTATCGTAGTTTCGGTTGAAACTTCATTCAGTTTCGTACTCAATAATACACCACAGTCAACCATCAAGTATTCAAACAATTAATTTCTTTTTAGTGATTTGTATTTCAGTTGTTAAGTTTAGAGAAATATGTTAAGTATAAAAGTTACAGAAAATTGTGTGTGCTTAAATATTTAATTTAAAAATTTGAGCTACGTCAATTATTTAAGATTGGATATAACTCTTTTCTATGTATGTCACTTTAAAAAGGAGATATTTAGCGTGAACAAAAAAAGTTTAAAATTTCAATGGTTTTTCCAGTACTGCAGTGAACCCACAAGATTTTCAATGGCGGAAAATTGGAATTTTCATATTCACTACATACTTAAAAATATAAAAAAGAAATTTGAATTACCCGACCTTTTGCAAGCTAAACCCCTTTATTTGTGCTTATTTTACTGGGCTAGTTAAACAGTGCAGACCTCAGAGTAGGGGAACTCAGACATTTGCCCAGAGGCCGGGCTAGAAATGCCTGCCACTTATGAATTTAAAAAAAGAATACAAAGCGTATAAGAAAAAATAATTTTAGCATATTGATAAAGCTTGTAGATACTGTAGCCTATGCGCAAAATGCTTTATAAATTCTATATTTACATGAACACCTATCATCGAGAATTTCATTACGTTTTTTCGGTAACGACACAATCTCTATAACCTTCACTGTAACTTACATTACAAATTGCTGGTTTTTAAGCTACAGGTTTTTACAAAAGATTGTAGAGAAGAAATGAAACCGCAGATTTCATTTTGTGGGTTCAGAATATGTGCTAGGAAAGAAAAACCACAAAAGCTCAAAATTTCATATTCTAAGGAAATTATCCTTACACGCTTTTGCAGTGTGGCTGTCGATATTTAATATTATTTGTATTTTATTTTATCATAATATAAATTTTAATATGAGTTTATTGAGTAAACTGTGATTTCACAAGAAAAAAATTATAATTATGAAACATCACTGTAATTTGTAACAGTGATTTTCCTGGAGCTGTGAAGGAAAATATATCGAACCCCATCACTAACTAGAAGTTGATTATCCAGAGTCCATAGAAATATCTGACTTTTATTAGATTTGCACTCTTTTTTTTTTATATTTCTTGTAAAAACTGTCTAATTGAGAAAAATAATGACAGTTAATTAATTCTATATTTTTCTAATAATGTCCCTTTTATAATCATATTCTAGCTAGCTATAAGTATTTTCTGTAATTAAATTTCCAAATTGCTGGATATTAAGTAGGTAAATAAGTCATTTGTTATTTTTATTGAAATAACTAGCTTCACCCGGACACGCGCTGCTGTGGCTTAGCCTGGCAAAATGGAAAAGAAAAAAAATAGAAAGCAATATGAGTGTATTAATAACAAAGGACATGTCATTTTTAAAAAGTTGGGAAACAAATTTGTCTGTAAAATGGCTTTAATTTAAACTAACTCTAATGATTTTTTTTTTCATGATTCAACTTGACCATTCGTAATCATCTAAGTGAATACGCCGTCATTCTTAATCATCAGAAAAAGTCTGAGGTGAACTTATAAAACTAAAATTGACTTTATCTCCGCTTTCTGAAAATGATAGAAATCCATTCTTTGATATCAAGCCATTCATACGTTTTCATATTTAATTTTATTATTATTTGTTTAATATTTAATGTATTGTTTAATGTTTAACTTTGTGTTGATCATTTTATAGCAAATAAAATTGTAAATGTTAGTTTGTTCAAATTCTTAAATATAGGAAAGTTCTTCTCCCATTGCCTTGTAATTTTGGTTTATCGTTGCATTTGATTACGTGTGTGTTTTAATATTTCTATTATAAAATATAAGATGAAACTATATATATTTATTAAAAATGCAACATCAGTTGGGTGTAAAAGCAAATACATGCGGTTCAAAATATTTTACGATACTGTTTTACAGTTAAAGATTTTCGAATATCGATCGTGGCAATACATTGAAATTGCGCTATACCATTTATCATAGATTTCATTTCGTGTGCATTAGATCTGCCTTCCACCTTCTTCAAAATATGTCGTATACTTCTTATAAGATAGTAGATTGCTTGCTTCTTCTTAATAACAACTTGATTAAATATAGAGTTATAAAAATTATAGTGAAAAAATAAACCTTACTCATGAAAGAACCCTACGGTCAAGGGCACAACCTTATTCCAACGTAATGTTAGAGAAAATAATTTATTATAAAATAAAATAAACTGAAATCAATAAACCTGTTTTTTAACAGGAATATAAACAGTGATAATAATTACTCAAGAGTCAAATCTTTTTAAATAGTAGCAAATCAAATATTTGAAATGTATCATTCTACTTCCAGAATACATTGTGAGGAAAATAAAAAATGAATATAAAGAGCGTATAATAGTATTGACCTACATAAGGAGAATCATATCACTTCTTCATATGATAAATTCAATTACTGTAGTAATTATAAAAGTTTCAATCAATCAGTAACAAAAAAAAAAAAAGGAAATGGCGTTTTCTGAAGAGAAAGCAGTAAATGTTTGAAACTCTATAACTCTGCAATGAATCATCCGATTTCAATGATTTTTTTATCTTGTAGGAAATTCAGGAATCTTTCAAACGAATATGGGTATTATCCATCAAAAATTGTGTACTTTTTTAGTTATCGGCAAATAAAATATTGAATTCATCGTAAAATTTTTTCAACTTGTTTTCGGAAAAGTATGTTACACACATAAATTAAAAAGGTTTCAAGAGGAAGGCTTTAGCCAAGTTTCGTTAAAATTGTTAAAGCCATTTTGGCGCTACAGTTTATAGCAACACATTTTTTTTGAGGGCTTTGAGCTAAAAAACATTTTCATTTTTTTTTTTTTACATATATAAAATTATCGTAAGACAGAAGTACTATGCCAGAAACCTTCACAGGAGTGTACGGAACAACTTCCCAAAGTTTCATGGCGATCGGATGAATGGTTTAGTAATGCATAAAGGACAAACAGACGGACATACATTCAATTTTATATATGTATATAGATAATGATGCTATTAATTATTTGTGAACTGGTCATCGCCAGGAATGATAAAACTGAACTTCCTTATGTAAAATTTTGTATAATGAAAAATGCGTTGAGTTCACTGAGAGTGAAATCACGCTAATAAAAATGAAGCAATTCATAAACCCGATATGGATTGACATACATTTAATTAAATGCGAATAAAGTGTTAAGAATAAGGTTGATTGTGTATTATTGTACTAAAAGTATACGGCCATTGTTCACCATTCTTTATTCTTATTTCTTATTCTTATTTATTTCAATAATGAAACTTGTTAGATACGTCATCTCTCTTGAAAATGAGTCACTTGGCTCGAAACGTTGTAATGTCATAAATAAATCGAATATTCGAAGCGTAAATCATGTCTGGAAAACACCTTACAAAATTGCATTACAGATCCTTATAATGCTTAAAAATACAGTGCTGGAAAAGTAACTAAATATACAGTTCCATTGTTTTATAAATTGTTATTTTCCAACAAAAACTTTTTCTATAACTTCATCTTGCCTTTTGTGTCTTCCCTGTATTGATTTCAGTTTATACAAAAATTCAAAAATTAAATTTCCGTGTTTACTTAAGATATGTTTTGTGTCTTTGGTATCGTCGCAGATGTTGCTACTTCGGCAAGAGTGATGAACGCATTTTCCATGATACCGAATTTTTCAGAAGTAGCACGCAAGTCCAGTCTTATCATTCCTGTCTTATCATTTCAATAAAAATCATAAATTACTAGAAGCTAGAGGTAGTAGGGAGAATAGTTGAGGATGCCAATGAGCTATTTCTATCTTACACCATCGAAGAAACTGCCATCTATCTTCATACAGATCGAAAGTAACCTTAATTCAAGGCCGCTGTGTGCGTTAAGTGTACGTCAAAAATTGTGATCTATTGCATCCTAACCTTTCTTTCTATAATATGCGACGTTACTATAACGAACTAGTTACGCTGTAACACAGCTAGTTGGGAAGATGAGCTGGAACATATTAGATCCATTTGGGAAAGATGGCATCAAGAATTGCAAAGTCACAGCATAAAGGAAAATATTAGCAGTAAAAACCAAGATAAATATTGACGATCTCGTAATCATGATGTGGCATCGCCTACTTGGACATTGGCCAATCGGCCAAGTAGTAGACATATATCTCGGCAAAGTCATTCAAATAGTGTCCATCTATATACCATAGAATAAAACATTTGTCTGAACTGCGGTACCTCTTGCGCCTTTGTTCGATCCAGAAGAAAATGGGTCAGGCCACTAACGGATCCAGGATTTAATTTTAGGGAGAGAGGAGGGGAGCTTCAGCCCGAAAGATTTTTTTAAATGTATTTATTACGATAATTACTTCGAGAGAAAGAAACTAAATACCTGTATGAAATGGTGTTTAAGTGATTCTTTAAGTCCTATTAAATGTAATTAGACGAACAACAATACTTTTAGAGACAATTTTTTTCATAAAACATGGTTTTATTTCACCATTTTGGTGGGGGCTTCAGCCTGAAAGTCCCTCCCCGTAGGAGGAGCCTGTGGGTCAGGTCTATTACAATGTTAAAATTTCATTGTTTAAGTTGGTCATTTCGTTTAGCTTTGGTCAAAGTTATTCACTTAATGAGAAAGCGACTAAAGGATTTACGTCACTGAGGTCATGGCACACAGAAATTAATATTGGTTGGATAGTCAGAAGAAAATTTTAGAGAATGTTGGCAATATGTTTGGTTTGAACGAAGGTGTATTATCCTCATTTTAGAATTCTGCATCCTTTTTGCATCGATCTTTCATATCAAGATATCTCTTAATGTCCGACTACTAAGTTCACTCGTAAGCAAATTTCTTGGCGGGATTTCGATTCGTTGACCTCTGAAAAACGAAATCCTTTTCTCGAATCCACTACCCCAGTTCTTAGAACCTATACACTTCTATTTTTCTATTGATGAAATGGTGGATTGTCTTTTCTCCAATCTCCTACTCCGTAATCATCATGCAACCCTAAATGCTTCTATATTCAGAAGCTCTGACGCTCTCTAAGTAATGCAAGAATGGAGCTGGCCCAAAAGGATCTACTTAGAGAAGCCAGGTGGGTATTGCCCGACTAATGGCTCGCGCTATTTCTCACGGGTCATTCGGGTCTAACGTACCATTTTAATCTCAGGCGAGGAAGACCACCAGACAGAAGAAGCAGCCTAGAAGATGGAGATCAAATCGAGAACGGAAAATATTTATGTACATCAGATTATGGAATTGTAAATTGTTTAATTAGTAGTAATCAGATGTGAAATGCAAACATGCTCAAGATCCAGCTACTGCAAAATTCGTATTGTCCTAAAGGCTGGGTAGGGTGTAAATTAATAATTCAGCCATTTACTATTTCAGAATATTACTAACATTTGAGCCTTTTTTATGTAGGTTTTTTTATTAGCTTTTCCTACTGCAAAAAAAAAAAACAACAACAAAGAAATAGAACTTAAGTCAATGATTTAGTATTACAGTAGTGTGAATTGTTTACACCAAAACATAACCGATTATTACGTACATATTATAAATTGTAAATATCGTTAAATAAACTTATTATTATCATTATAACTAACTCAAATTTCAACATTTTTGAGTAATGTCATTTTAGTGATATTTCTAGTTGGAAAAATTTATATCTGTACAGATAGTGAGTAAGTTGATTCCAGAGTAGGTGATTGAAGTGTTGACATATAAAACTGTAAATAAAAGTATAAAATTTCCCACAAAAAATATCACTAAAATTAATTATCTAAAATTGTTGAAACTAGAGTTAGTCATTCTGTCAACTCTAAGGCTCATTTATTTATTTCAGAGAATAACTGGGTTTTAATGACGTCATATTTTTTTCAGTTATCTTCTGGCATATTCTGTCAAATTCCACATATCGATTAAATCTTCTACTTCTTGTTGTTTATTTACTTTATTTTCTCATTCATGTTTCTGTTATCTTGATGATTGTTTACCGGTTGTGTGGTTACTTTAGTATTCGAATTGCGATAAAAGTATGGATCAGTTGAATTTGGAATATCGTGTAGAATATCGTGTATTTGACCACTAAGAGAATGCAAGGAACAGGTCTTGAAGAAATAGGAGTTCCTGGGCAGAATGCTCTTAGAGAAGCTCTCACCAGTTGTACTGACCCCCTGAAAGCTATAGAAGAATTTCAGGTTAAATTTTTATTTTAAATTACTATCCAGTCTTCCTTTTTTAAACACAGGTATAATTTTTCAAGAATTCAACATTAGTTATCAATTTCCGTTTTATTTCCATCTTTTGAGAACATTAGCTTTATAATTCCTACTGAAATAAATAAATAAATGAGAAGGAGTTAGTTGAGGGTGCGGTCAAATAAATAAAAAAAATTAAAAAATATAAATAATTTTAATTTTTATTAATAATTTTATAAATATTAATAATTTTAATATTTATATTTATATATTTTTTAATTTTTTTTATTTATTTGACCGCACCCTCAACTAACTCCTTCTCATATCATATCAACGGTCAACCATCTCTACATCATTATAAATAAATAAATATTTTCATTTATAGATGTTTCTATATTATGTACGTGGCTCATTCTGTGCCATCATCTATGGGCTGACACCCTCTCCTCATAGCTTTTAATGAAAGTTTTTATGAATGAAGTACATACACAAGTATGACAAATTGCTAGACTTATCTCAATTCTAACGAGTAGTTTCAGAAATATGGTCATTTGAACTTTTTGAAATTTGACCTTGAAACAAGTTTGTATATGATTAGGCTTTCTTATGTAAAATCAATAGTAAATAGGAGCTTTCAAAATTTCTGAATTTTTCCTATATTTTATGACGAATCAGGTGATCATAACTGTTAGCATTATGAATTTTTATCATGCATAAAGAAATTCTTTAACATAAGAATCAATAATTTTTCAAGTTATACAAACATTGAAAAATATCTTTATCCAAAAACCCTTTTCCCCAAAACTATGTGGTTTATTTAAATATTCAAAAGTAAGGTCCTTTTATCAGTTTATTTTGCTAACGATCAGTTTCTTTCAAGGCTCTAACATGAATGCTTTTACCTTAAGAATTCAGACAATAATCTGGTTATCCTCTCACTAACCTGGATGCCAGTTTGTGGACCGCATGGGAGTCTTCATTTGTTATTTTTCTCCTGATTCTGGAATTCAGCTTTGTACGACATCTTTTTTGCTAACTGTTTTCAATTGTTCCATATTCCTCATGCCTGTTTATAACATAACTAATGGTGGAAAAATTTGACACTAATAAATCTGCAGTTCCCACTATGATTTTTGTTGATTCCACTACAAAACTATTTTTCAAACAATGCATTCGTCTTTGACAAAACAACAGCTGAGTGAGTGGTTGAAACTGTTACGAACTTCCTGAAAGACTTCATAGTACTAGAACAATTCAGGAATATATTATATTGTCGTTTAACAAAGTCTGAAAGTACTTTTTTCAAAGAATTCTATGGTTTTAATTTTTTTTAATTAAGCTAAATTTTGTGCCCTATCTTTTATTTTTCCAAGAGTATTTCTTTAGAATCGGATATATATGTCTTCAAGAGCAAGAACGATGAGCAGTAAAAGGAGGTTGATGTCTTATCTAATGATGGCCACTTCCATTTCCACTTCCAACGATCAGTCTGTTGTCATCATTTACTGCAGCTATTATCTCAATTCCTTCATATTCCAATTTCTCTTTTAATTGTGAAATTTAAACGGTCCTTGTTGGCAAGATTGTTTAATTATTTATTTGGTTGATCAATTAGCGGGGTATATTCATTGAAAACGATCTCTACAGAAATGAGTTTCAGAAGTCACTGTTCTTGCATTGTATGCTTTTAGTGATTTCGACATTTTCTCTGTAACCATTCGATACTACAGTTGTTGCTTGTCTGTAATCAGGGCTCCAAATGAAAAACAAAATTTATTTGGAAAAAGTTTCAGTATCGTCAGAATTTTTATTGTTGATTTCAGTTTCTTTAGAACTAGAAGTTCTGCTTAAACTTTTGAAGTAAAGGTTTTACAGAACTTTTATTTTAAAAACTTTTATTTCAAATTTATGTTGTATTCGCTAAAAAGTCAATCTAAAAATGACTTTTATTCTTTGCTACTCAAAAAAACTACCCATTAGAGTAATTTGTTATTCATTTAAGACAAATTATAACTCTAATCTAAGCCCTGTTTGTTTTCTATTTAACGGAACTTTTTTTAATAACTAGAATAGATAAAAGTTTAACTTTTACCATGAATATGGAACTTTATTATAAAAAAGTTCTTCAGAACTTTTATTTTAAGAACTTTTTTCCTTAAAGGTTTTACAGAAACTGGTAAATGGAACTTTTTTTCTAGAAAGGTTTCACAGAAAAAAAACTCCCAAAATTGTCAACCCTTGTCCTTTATGATTCCTAATGAAATTAATATTGGTCATGTATTTATCTACATGTTCCTTGGTTAATACATCAACAATACCGACCAAAGGAAAGATGAATGATAAATCATTCTCCTAATTATTTTTTGTAAAATAAAGGCAGTTGAAGAGATTAACTTTGTCATACTCAATCATTTGGACTTTAAAGTACCGACTGTTTCACTGGGTTTAGTCATTTTCTGTAATGATTTTTTGCTGATCTCTTTTATTATGTATTGTACTTAATCTATCAATGTGCTCAGTAGCAACTAAGCCAGTTAGCAATGAAATAAAATTTTCAGAGTTACAAAGGATGGGTGCTGCGTATGAATGTAAAGTATGAAATGCGACCTTCAATCCTCCTCGGGTTTCCATTGTTGTTTAGGGCTATTTTGTGAGAAATCTCATCTGGGTGGATAAATGATATTGTTTCTCACATTAAAAAAAAAAATTCATTTTTAACTCTAATAATAAGCTTTCAGCTTTGATGTTTCACTATCCTAGCTATCTTATATTCGATACTCTCTTTGCTTAGGTGCTGATCATAAATCAAATAGTTTGAAAGGTCTGAATATAAAATAAAATTGTTTAAAAATGGGAGAAACAAAATCGTTTATTAAAAAGGAAGGAGATGGTCCGGGGTTGCGGTCATAAAAAGGCTAAATAGTTTTACCACTATTTAGCCTTTTTATGACCGCAACCCCGGACCATCTCCTTCCTTTATAATGCAACGGTCAACTATTAAATATTCAAAATCGTTTATTAATCCCCTCCAGCTAATCCCCTCCAGCAACCCCGGACCATATCCTTCCTTTATAATGCAACGGTCAACTATTAAATATTCAAAATCGTTTATTAATCCCCTCCAGGTTTTTCTATATTCGTATTAGAAGAAATGTCACCAAATTAATAAAATTCACAATTTCGACATCAGCTAACTGCGTAAAACTTACAGCTGATGATTTTTGAAAGCTCCAGTTCAATAAATATTTCTTAATTAAGAAAGCATTGTATTTAAGAATACATATATTTATTAATTTCTGTGAGGGTGTCAAGGACTTTGGCTGGATGAATTGGTATAGAATGGCCCGCATATATTTCACATGATTATTTTTTTAATTGTAATTGATTATTATTGAAAAATATATTGATTTACGAGAATATTATAAATTTACTTTATTCTTGTTTTATAAGAATGACTTAGAGTATCCTTGTATTTGGCACTCCTTAAGTGATTACTGTTGGATTTTTTTAAATATTACACATTCTCATTTTTTCAGAAATATAATTGTGCTAAGATAAATTTTTGGAAAATTATAGTAACTATAATTTGTTGCAGTTGGAAAATGGAATACTGCTTCCATCACTGCGACAGATGCTACCTCTGCTGGACCTTCACGGGCTCAGAAGGCTTGATTTCCATACCTCCGTTTTGGAGGTAAATTTTTATCATATATTCTTTATTTACATTATATTTTAATTAAATTTGTTTTGTTGGAAGTTTTGAACGCAGTATATATTTATGTACTATTGATTAAAAATATACATTGTTTTAGAATAAACAATAAAAATTGCAAATAAAAAAGTGAAATTTGTATGGTAAATAAGTTTTTCCACTTATAAATAAATTTTTATTGACTTGAAAGAATATATGGACTAATTATTACATCTAGATAAGTATGATAGTTAAATAATTGATGTTTATAGTGGAAAGGTTCCGATTACATGCATACACCATTTTGCAACATCTATCTATTTGAACTCGGGAGGCCTTGAAATGTTTATTTCGGTTGAAAACTAAGTTTCAATTCTTTTATGACTGTTTAACTACCCATTACTATATAGTATTATGTGAGCAGTATAGACTTGAATCAATTCCTTGCCCTGATGGCAATAGCTCATAGAAAATAACATCCTTGAAATCCCACCATATGGAAAGCGTTATCTTATGATATAATCTGTGTTTTGACATTCTTCTAGGATCCTCACTACTAGGCCCCAAGATTTTCTACGGGCTATATTATCGTAAAATATCCATTTTTCATCTCCTGTTACCAACCATTTTCAAAAATGGTTTGTTTTGTTGCCATTTCCTTGGTGAATCACAAACAGAAATACATGTTGTCAAGTTGACTTCGGTTAGAGAGTGAGGAACCTAAACATTAAGCCTGGAAACATAGCCGAGCTTGTGCAAATGGTTTTCTATGCTTGTGTACGACACATTTAAGGCCATATCAATCTCTCACACTGATTGGGTGGGATTTTGATCAACAATGGTCTTAACATTGCTCGTTTCAATTTCATGTAGGCGACCAGACTGTTGAGCATTATTGATATCAGAATTTTCTGAATGAAATTTGGTAAACCAATTTTCACAGGTGCGTTCAGTTAAGGTGTCATCCCCATTAACACTGCAAATTTTTCTATAAGCTTCTGCAGCTTGCTTATCTTTTTTTTTTAATAATACAACAAAATATGCCAATAAGGAATGATTTTTTCTTGCATATTCACAGTGCAATAGCAAATACAATACTAAGCTAGTTTCAACAAGAGTTAACAGATATAGTAGTTCACTTATTAAAAACAGGATAAACAATCTACCTTGGCATTAATTCATCAGATAAGAAGTGTATCATAATGACTTAAAAATGAACAGAAAAATTGAAAGGATTTATTTGCCAACCCAATATATTTCTATATTTTTTAAAGTTAGTATATATAGTTAATTTGTAGCAACTACTGCTTCTGTGAATATCTTATATATTATTATTTATTTTTTATTTTTGGCAAATATGCCTTTAGTTATTGGTTTCAATTAGGTTTTTTGTTAATAGGAGCTAAGGGACAATCTTGTGACTCATATCAATGAGCTAGGTCAGAAAGAGGGACGTGAGAGAGATAAGACTTTAAAAGAGTTATTATCAAAAAGCTTTCCTTTGGTTCGGTTGAAAGCATTACGCCCAATAGTGATGTGTATTCTCAGGAACATCCCTCATATTGACGACAAATATCTTAGGGTGCTGGTAAGTAGAAGTATTATTAGTATAAATGTAGTAAAATGTATTTGTTTTGGGACCTATTTCATTACTTATCCTTTTGAAATTTGAAAAAAAAAAAAGTTTGGCAATATACTTCTTCAGCTTTTGAAGTTTGAAATAGTTAATTATTGTTGTGTATTTTAGGTACGAGAAAAGGAACTATACAATGATACTGATACTGAAGTCAAACGTCAGATATGGAAGGATAACCAATCATTGTTTGGGGATGAGGTCTCTCCACTTTTAACTCAGTATTGTAAAGAAAAGGAAAATATTCTTTTTGATCATCAGAATTTGACTAATCTTTTCTTTACTCCGTCACCTAAGGTACTGTTAATTTTTTTAAATTTAAATTTAATATCAAGGTATATAATGCCATTTACTAAATGATTGTACAATAAGAAACAGGACACGATAACTTTGATTGGATGGTGGAGTCAAAGAAGAAACACATTTTATGTATAATTTTTTTCTTAATGTGTGCTGGTGTTTCAGCCTAAGTTACAGGACTTCATTAGGGCTAGGAAGAGAAGATTATTAGTGTAGGATCACTTATTTCAATGAAACATTTTTTTAGTTAAAAAAGTAGGTAGGTTGAAAAATTTAGTGCAGTCCAAAATTCAGGTACCTCAGTAGCTTGTTAATCTCTGATAATGTGACAGAATCCGATATATATATGTAGTAAACATTTAGTACATTTAGCTCAATTGATAATTCAGTTAAGCAGATTGTAAATTAAAATAGTACTTTTATTATCTATTCTATTAATTAAAAAATATATCTATAATAATTATCATAAAATAAGGAGTAAATTATTTATTTGTTATATACATTGAAAATTGTTTCCAAAAAATAGGTGAGACGACAGGGAGAAGTTGTGCAAAGACTGGCACATATGATAGGATCAAGTGTCAAGCTTTATGACATGGTCCTCCAATTCCTAAGGACATTGTTCATCCGAACTCGAAATGTTCATTATTGTACATTGAGAGCAGAGCTACTGATGGCATTACATGATCTCGAAGTACAGGTAATGTTATAATATTTCTTATAGATTTTTAGTATCTACAAATTGAGATTTAGTATCTACAAATACTTGGATGTCATTTAACAGAAGGGAACCCATTAATAAAAATGGAAATGAAAAAAAAAAAAATTGGAAATAATATGCAATGTTTGTATTTAATAAAACAAAAAAAAAACATACCCCAATAAAGTTAGTTTTTACTCAATATATTATCATATATATATATATATATATATATATATATATATATATATATATCCATTGTAACATTTATCAGTAAACAAGTAATGTAATATATATACACTGACAGGCAAAAAATTCCACCTACTCGATTTTTTCATGTTTTCATCTAAAAATATTTCACCCACTTGTAAAAAAAGTTGTATTTGTATATAATACATGGTATTTGTATATAATACATGGTATTTGTAGATAATACTTTGTATTTATGGAATTTTATAATCTTTTTTACCTTTAATAATGAAAATGTGATTGGGTAAGAAAGATTAGAGAAAAAAAAATTGAAAAACGAACCATTATTATTCTAAAAGAAATGAATTACATCATCGTTTAGTAGCGCGTGTTTCCTCCTCTTGCCTTCACTGCTTCTTGAAGACGCCTCGACATACTTTCCACCAGTCGGGAAATGTCTCTTTGCTGGAGGATAGCCCATTCCTCCCGAAGAGCCCTTTCAAGGTCCTGCAGTGTATCAGGAAGTGTTGCACGCACTCTTATTCGTCTTCCAAGGTTATCCCATAAATGCTCAATGGTGTTCAAATCTGGAGAACGTGCTGGCCAGGCTAAAACCTCAATATTGTTCTGTTGAAGGAAGTCTGCACTATGCGGGTGACATGTGGGCATGCATTATTGTGCATTAGAATAGAAGATCGCGACATGAGGATAGGAAACACACGAGGTTCCAAAATCTCATCTACATAGCGAATGGCCGTCAAAGACCCTCCACGAACAACAACCAATTCGGCGCTCCATTGAAATCCCAGCCCACACCATTAAGAAACAACGTTGGAAAGTTTGGCTCTGGGAAAAATTACAGGCTGCATATCTTTCGTTTCTTCTTCTCCACACCCTTTCACGCCCGTCTGGAGATCGAAGAGCGAATCTTGACTCATCTGTAAAAAGTACAGCACTCCATTCGTCCATGGTCCAATGGCTGTATTCTCGAGCAAAAGCCAGCCGTGTTACTCAGTGAGTTCTGGTCAACTCTGGTCCTCTTACTGGACGAAAAGCCGTTAATCCATACCCATTTAATCTTCTCCGAGCGGTACGTTCAGAAATTTGCACACCTCGAACTTCTTCGAGCTGATGAATCGCTTGAAAAACAGTAAGGTTCCGGTTTCGTAAAATTCTCAAAGTCAAAAACCGGCCATCCCGTGGTTCTGTTACCCTAAGCCGTCCAGAGCCGGGCCTTCTATTTTAAGAACCAGTTTCCCGAAGACGCCTGATGGCGTCTTGTAAAGTTTCATATGGAACTCCAATGGCAATAGCTGCATATCTAATGGAACATCCATCATCGATAAGTGCCACACCAGGCGCAACATCCTCAGCACTAAGAGACATTTTTAAACTTAATATTGAAAAAATTAAAAGCCGTAGTCTAAGAAATGTGTTGCAAGAAACTGCACTGAACTAAAATGATACTGAATAAACATTTTGATTCCATAGAAAGTAAACATAGGAATCTAGAATCATTTCATTGAATTAAGGATTAAGGGTTATTGTCCTGTATATTAACATTCCTAATTGAAAATAAACAAAAATATTACCTATTTATTCATTAAAAACAATAGACCAATTCAAAGCAGAAATATTTTTAGATGAAAACATGAAAAAATCAAGTGGGTGGAATTTTTCGTGTTTTCATCTAAAAATATTTCTGCTTTGGATTGGTCTATTGTTTTTATTGAATAAATAGGTAATCTTTTTGTTTATTTTCAATTAGGAATGTTTATTTATATATATATATATATATATATATATATATAATATATATATATATATATATATATATATATATATATATATATGTATGTTTATATAAATATATATATTTATATAATAGAAGGAGGGGGGCTGGGGCAGCCATGCGGGCTTAAGCTTTTGCAATAGGTAAGTTAAGCAACGTCAAGCGTGGTTAGTACTTGGATGGGTGACCGTCCTCTTTGGGAAAGCCATGTCGTCCGAGACTCTTCCCCATTATGTGAGGCCTGTCAGTCTACAGAAGGCAATGCACCCCGACCGGTTGTAGGACTGATGATCCTACCTCATGTACTTTTATCGTTTATAAGTTTATCAGGTTGCCGGTCAACGCATGGTGCTGAGCATACATGCGTTAGCCCGCTTGGCCACCCCGCCCCTTTTGGCTATGGATCTGATGCTGCACCATGAAGACCATGGTTCGTAGCAACGTAAGGTTGGGTGACCTTTAGGCTATCTGTGCACCTTCAAGCAATATGGGTCTATAAGGAGACTACATCTCACGGGCAAAGATCTTCATGTCCTATTGCGCCAAACAAAAAAAAAAAAAAAAAAAAATATATATATATATATATATATATATATATATATATAAAGTAGAAATATTTTTGGGTGAATAAAATGTGAAATACTGAATAAGTTTGTGACAACAAAGAAGTTATACCTATTTGAAAGCTTTCAGATTTTCAAGGGCATTTAACTTGAAGTTGAGTTTACTTAAAACATGTGCAAATTGGATTGGTTTAATTCTGTTAAATTCCTGCAAATGGTTGTCAGAAATATCCTTTTTTATATTTAGCATAGACTTGAGTGATAAATATTGTTATTTTGAACAAAAAATCCTTTTTTACCTTAATTATCTTGTATATGGTTTTAAATTTATAATATTCATAGCTACTTATTTAAATTTATAGGATATCATATCTGTTGATCCTTGCCATAAGTTTACTTGGTGCCTTGATGCTTGTATTAGAGAGAAGAACGTAGATGTGAAAAGGTCACGAGAGTTACAGGTAATACAAACTTAAACACATAAATTTAATGTCAAATTAAAGATTATTCTGGTGGAGTCATTAAAGCAAAATAATTGACTTAGGGTTTTCAACTTTTCTTGACTGAGAAAACAAAATCTTTAAAATGCGAAACCACAAAGTCTTTTCTTTTTATATTTTTGTAACCACAATTAGTACTTTATCCTGTAACTTTACGATGCTATATTTATTCTGAGATGTAATATTTAATATAATAATAATATAAGCATATCAGAAATAAGAAAATTCCTCTGTTGGCAATAAAAAATTCGATGCAGTGTACACATTACACAACTTTTACTCACCACTTAGAGTAGAAAGGTATTTTTATATGTAGGAATTCAAAAGTAAAAATGATGATATAACTTCATTTAAAACAATTAATTACTATGTTTTACCCACCCATCGAATCTGTTAAATGTTAATGTTTGCTCCACTTTTCATTTCCTTTTAAGGCTTATATAATATCTAATAATACTAATAATTATAGAGAAAAATGGATCTTTTGGAAAAATTCTGAGTTTTATAGGAAATATCTATTACAAAACTTAATGAGAAGAGAAGTTTATGTTAGTATATATTTTATATTATTAGGTTTATATTAGTAAATTGCTAACATTTAGGGTGAAAACCTTTTTAGAAAATTATAAGTAAGTTAATTATAAAAGTTAAACTAATAATATGAACGCTCTGTACAGAGGGGTATCGGGTATCCGTAAATGGAGCAGATCAACAAAGGTCGGGCGCTCTCGGCTGTTTCCATATAGTTTCCTACCCTTATTTCTCTTTAAGTTAACAATCAGTTTTTTTCATTCATGATATTTAACTATTTTTATTACTAGTTACTACTTTATACATTTTAAACAACCCAAAGTTTTGCTATTGTATCAATAGATTGATCAAAAATTAACTTCACTAAATAATATTAGTTATTAAAAATTATTATTCCTAATTTTTTCATTTCTCTCCATTACCTTCTACGGCTTTATATGCTAGATATTAATTCTTATAAAATCTTTAACTGTCCAACAATCAACAATGTATTACTAGTCTTATTTTTAGAAAAATCGTTTTCAATCTGGAAAAATGTTTTTTAATTATTATGTTTTTCTTTTGTTATTTATATTTAGCCATTTCTGATCTACACTAACCACATGAGCCTTTTAATTATTTCAAATAAACAAAACTAAAGGTACTTTAGAAGAAACTATTTTGAAAATTTGGGATTTAACCCCTGTCAGACTAATTCAATTATGATAAGACCTACCTGTTGACTAGCATTGGTGTAACAAGTTTGATCAAAATTGTTAAAGCCATTTTCGAGAAAATGTTGTAAAGTCTAAAATCTGTTATATAAAGAGGCACATTCAGAATTTTAGGGGGAAACTTCTCTGTAAGACCCTAAACATATACGTACCTTAAATAAGTAATTTCAGTTTCATATGACTTTTTGTTTCTGAGCTAGACTGTTCACGTACACACAGACATAAGCATGCTCGATGATATGTACAGACACACTCAGACTATTTTGCAAGATTTAATCATTCAGAGGACCTCCAAACTTGTTTTTCTGGAAAAAATTCAGTTTCTAAATTTTTTGCCATTACAATATTTCCCCATACTGTATATTTCATGTAAAGGGAAGTGAAAGTAGAAATGTCAGTGCTATAACTTTTAAAAGATAGAGTTAGCTCCTAAGAAGTTAAGTTTAAAAAATCTTAGATTTACCTCTTATAAAAATATTTTTTGTTTTATATAATATGTATTATATCTTAAAACTACTAAATAATTATTAAATTTGAGAAATAAATATTACTCATATTATAGGGATTCTTGGATGGGATCAAAAGAGGGCAAGAAACTGTTTTAGGTGACCTTTCAATGACTCTCTGTGACCCTTATGCTATAAATTTTCTTGCAACTTCAGCTATGAAGATCCTACAGCATCTTATCAACATTGAGAATTTGCCTAGGGTAAAGTTTAATGACCAATTTTATGCTACAATTGTTTTTTGTTTTTTTAAATAAATAATAATTGACTACTTATTGTATCTTTGTTAATATTGAAAATTATTACAGGAAAATACTGTATTGATTCTTCTATTGAGGATGTTGTCTCTTGGGCTTAGTGCATGGGTTATGATTAATTCCCAGGTATGATCATTTATCCATGCTATTATGAGTTATCATGCAATGTTGTATTCTAGAAAAATCTTTTGTTTATTATGTAAAGTTTTATTGTAGAAAAATCTTATGTGCTTCTATATTACAATGTATTTATACTACAGTATGGGCAAGTTCCTAAACTAAATGCATCATTTCTCCCAACGTAAAGACGTATCCGATACATCAATGAGCACAGAACTGAATTTAGGAACTTGCCCTATGTACAGGTTACAATGTGTATGCTCTGATAAGGGATAACAGGATCTCTTGAATCTATGTAAAATTGGTTTATAATTTAAAATATTATAAATTAATTTGTTAAATGAACTACTTGAACTTTATTCATATTTAAATTACATCTGTATCATCAAAATCATAATTTTATCCCAATTTCTACATTTACATTACTTATGACTGATCGATGTTGCAGGAGTTCAAAGAGCCCAAACTTGATCCACAGATAGTTAGTAAGTTCTTACCAGCACTTATGTCACTGATGGTTGATGATCAGGTGCGAGCTCTGAATGCGAAGCTTCCTCCAGATGAAAGGGAGTCAGCTATCACAATTATTGAACATTCAGGTAAAATAAAGACAATAAATGGTCTTTTAATTCTTGAAACAAATAAATGTTCTATCTGATAAGTTGATATATAAAACAGGTTAGTTTATTTTATTTATAAATTTCTAATTAATTAGTGTATTTGTATTTTTGTTTAAAGTACCTTTAGCTTTATATAATATTTGTGTTAAATATTTTTTATATACAACTAAAACAAATGGAAGTTTTTTCTAAATGTAACAACTCCTATTTTCCATTCAACCATTTTCAGTCAATATAATTTTAATCTCAGTCTTATTTTATTTGTCCTGACATATTGCAACTTTATTATAAATTTTATTACTAATAAAGATTTTTTCAATTTAATGACCATTTATTTAAGTTGTTATTAATTATATTACTTACTATATTAGTTCGTAGTAGACTCCTTTTTATCGAATTATTAACATTGTGTTAAATATTTTTTATATACACTAAACAAATGGAAAGTTTTTTATAAATGTAACAACTCCTATTTTCCATTCAACCATTTTCAGTCAATATAATTTTAATCTCAGTCTTATTTTATTTGTCCTGACATATTGTGAACAAAGGAATAAAATAGCATGAAATCACATGTTGAGAAACTACCCATTGGTAGCCCTCTAAAAATGTATTTACAAAAGGAGATCTCGAGGCCATCTTCTTTTCAGACGCCTCTGAGGGTTGTCAGGGATCGAAGAGGAAGCAAGGTTAGAAACGAGAGGGTTTGGATGGTTCTGAAGTTTGTTATGGAAGGATAGGTATCTGGATTGGGCCAGGTCAGAAACATAAGGAACATTAAAGTCGTTATGGATGATTTTGTTTGTGACAAAGTAAGGAGCAGTGAAGATTTTATGAAGGATTTTGGATTGTAAGGATTGGATACGAGAGGAATTTGATGGCTTAGTGGAGCCCCAGAGCTCAACTCCGTAAGTCGAAATAGGTCTTATTGTAGTCATGTATATGAGTCTTTTGTAATTGACTGGGAGGTTGGAACGTTTGTCTAGTAAGTGCTGGAGTAGTCGGAAAAGTGTCGAGCTGTTTCTTGTCGTTTCAGTCTGGTATGAGGATTACAAGTTAGACGTTTGTCTAAGTGGAGTCCAAGGTATCGAATTTGTTCAACAGGGATAAGTGGGGTATTATTAAAGGATACTGTAGTACAAGAGGACATAGGTTTACGACGAAGGGTAAAGGTGATTTGATGGAATTTATTTTTATTCTCCAGTTTTGACACCATTCTTCAAGGTTTGTGATGTGTAATTGAAGGGTTTGGGATGCAATTGTTGGGTCGTTATTAACTGATAGGACACATGTATCATCGGCATACGTGGTAATGATTGTGTTAGGATGGGTTGGGATATCAGCTGTATAAACTGTGTAAAGGATAGGACCTAGGATACTACCTTGAGGAACACCAGCGGACTGGGAAAAAAGGGATGAATAGGCATTATTATGATTTACTTTGAAGGATCTATCAGTAAGACAGGAACGGATAATGAGGAAGTATTTTTTTTTTTTTTTTCCCCTGTTCTTCCCTACCTCGCCTTTTAGGCTATACGGGATTTTCCCGGACCAGAGGGTGAGGGCGGAGAATTTAAAATCCCCCTCTGGCACTGGGATGCGAACTCGTGACCATTTTCATATCAAAGAATCATATATCCGGTTGCCGGGCAACGGCGGTGCAGTGCACACGCGTTAGCCCATTCGGCCACCCCGCCCTCTAATGAGGAAGTATGTAGGGTGTAGGAATTTACGGAGTTTGTAAAGCAGTCCTTTGTGCCAGACTCGATCAAAAGCCTGTTCTACATCGAGCAAGACTCCTGTGCAGTACATTCTGCGCTCCAATGCAGAGGAGACAACATCCACCACATGATGGCATTGCTGGATAGTGGAATGGGATCTGCGGAATCCAAATTGATGATCTAGGATAATGTGATTAGAATCTAGGATGGGGGTTCTAGGATTTTGCCTAGGATGGGTAAAAGGGAGATAGGGCGATAGGAGGACGGATTTTCTGGTGGCTTTTTGGGTTTATGTATCATTTTGATAATAGATAATTTCCAAGGGTCAGGAAAGTATGTGGATCGCAGTACAGCATTATATATATAAGTAAGGAATAGAATGGCTTTCTGAGGAAGCAGTTTTAGGATCTGGGATGTAATTAGGTCGTGTCCAGGAGCTTTTCGGGAAGGTAACCTTTGAATGATATCGGATATTTTTGAAGGATCAAAGGCTTTAGGTGGAAGAGACATTTGGAGTGGGATATCCAGTTCTGCTTCAATACATTCAAGGTGATTTGGGTTAAGAATATCAGGGTGTGGATTAAAGGTTTTAAAGAGGTGATGAGCAAAGATTTGTGATTTTTCTTCATCGGATTTGGACCAGGTTTGAGCTTCAGTAAGAAGTGGATGATTACAGTCTTTAAATTTCAGGAGCCTTTTAGTGGTCGTCCATAGTGATTTGTCGGTAGCGGTAAGTTTTTCAGTAAAATTTAGTAAATTTTGAATTTTGTATTTTTTAATTTCAGATTTTAGTTTGTTAGTCAGTTGGGTATAATGAGTTTTATCTGTTGGATATCTGGTTCTATGCCACTTCGATCTTGCTCTGTGTTTTTCCTTCAATAAGATACAAATATGCTGTGGCAAGTTAGTCTTTTGTGAATTGTTAAACTTATTGATAAAAGTATTATTATTTATACTGTCTGTTATTGATGCTGTCAGTTTTTCAATGGCACCATTAATGTCGTCTTTTGTCTTTAGCGGAATTTTTAAGTCTAGTTTGTTTTCCAAATCATCACGAAATTCGTCCCAGTTTACTCGTCCTGTAATCAATTTAGGAGTTGATGGTTTAGGAGCATAGCTCGAATGTAGTGAAAGTAGAACTGGACTATGGTCTGAAGAAAGGTCATCAAGGGATTTGATTATGGTTTGTGAGGAGGAGATCTGGGAAGTTATAAATATATCTAGGATATCGGGACGTTTTTTGAGGGATGTTGGCCAATAAGTAGGACTCATGGGCGAAAGAATTGAATAATTGTTGGAAGTTGAAACACGTGATAGGATGTTACCGCGGGGGTTGGATGTTCGACAACCCCATCGTTGGTGTTTAGCATTGTAGTCTCCTCCAGCAATGAAGCGCGATCCGAGGGATTGGAATAAGGAATCAAGGAGGTTATAGGAGAGGGAATTACCAGGAGGACAGTATACAGCTGAGAATGTGAGATGGAAAAGGCGAGTTGAAAGGACTACAGAAGTTGATTAAATGGCATCAGTTGGAGTGGAAGGAATAAGGGAATGGGGTAATGATTTATGTATAAGGATGCAAGAACCGGCATGGGAGGTGTTATCTGGGTGATCAGTTCTGTAAGTGAAGTAGTCACGTATGTAGAAATGTATTCGTTTAGTGAAATGAGTTTCAGTCAGTAAAGCAATGTCAATGTTATTATTATGAAGAAATAAGTCAAGTTCGTCACGGTAGTTATTTAGTCCGTTAGCATTCCGTCCGTTAGATAGTTAGGGTCTTTGTGCTCATCGTGGGAAATTGAATGGAATTTTGTTCAGGATTCTGGTGAGAAGAGTGATAAGTGGTTTTATGGTATTTTGGAGGTCCAATAGGAAGGATGAAAGAATGGAGGTTATGTCAGATATGTGTTGATTGTGAATTGGATTCAGGATAGGTTCTTGTGGTGGATTAGGAATATTAGCTGAGGGCGGGATCCGTCGTTGTGGGTCTAGTGTGCTGCACTTTTTTTCTGAGCGTTAGGATGGCACTGTTGAGGGTGCTGCGGTGGTAATTTGACTCATAAGGGTATATGATGAGGGTGAATTTGCTGACGTGGAGGATGAGATTGGGGATTGTGAGATTGAGGTTTGCATTGGGAGATTTGAGGCACCTGAATTTGAGGCTGCTGCTTCTTCGTAGTGATTGGTGTTTTTCTAAAGTCCTGCTGAGGTTGATCAATTTCTCTTGAAGTAGACGCTAGCTGTGTATTTTGAGTAGTCATTTTTGGCAATTCTGGAAAATCTGACGGATTATCAATTTCAGGTAGATGGGTGAAACTTTCTTGGTTCAGTTTTACGATTTTCGAGGCTATGTTCTGAGCTCTCTGCTTATAAAAATGTTTATAAACTTTGCATCCTTTGTAGTTTGCTGGATGTTCTTCACCGCAAAAGGCACATTTCGCAGGCAGGTCTCGAGGTCTCTGATAAGTGTCTGATGCGTGTGGGCCGGCACATTTCACACACCTGGCCTGGTGATGGCAATAAGTCTTTATGCCTGCTGTATGCCCCAAGTCTTGGAACTATTATAGACTTTTATCTAGGCTCTTCAAATTTAATGGTGGAATATATAAGCCTCTTCACATGAAAAATTTCGATGTTATTGCTGGCAGGCTCTAAATCAACGAAAAATAGTGGTAAAGGATAATTTTCCGTTGGGTGTAGTACGCATGATATGTGCCTAACATTGTGACCTATTTCTTCTAGGCCACTTTTGATGAAAGATATTGGGGTGCTTGAGTGTAGTCCTCTCAACACCACTCGGTATGGCTTTTCTTGTCTTAATTGGTAACAATGAAAATCATAGTTTTTGGACGTAAAGTAATTTATAAGTGTTTTGTAATTTTCTCGAGAGTTTGTGTTTATTTTGATATCATTAACTCTGGAGAAACAGCGGAAATTGGTCTGTCCAATCAGACCGGCAATTTCTTGACCAAGTGTAATGAAGTTATCGATTTTAGATATGAAAATAGGTGGCGGCTCGAGCTCAGAAAACTCTTGAGGCTCCGGAATCTTGCTTGATATTTTATTAACGGAAACAGGCTTATTGGTGTTAGTGGTGGTTGGTGCAGTTGGCTCTGATTCTATGGTAATTGATTTGCTTCTGGTTTGAGGTAGTGGTATATTTTGCTCGGCTGATTGTTTAGTTTTAGTAGATTTACTTTGTTCAGTTGACTTTTTAGATTTATTTTGCTCTGCTAACTGTTTAGGTTTAGCTGATTTGTTTTTTTTCTTATTGGGTGAATTAGCTCCCGACCCAGGAGGAGTGTTTCGATGACGTTTTTGAAGTGTTCTTCTTTTTAAATACTGCGAATCTGTTTCGCTAACCTCTGAAAACGGCGTTTCGTCCTCTGAATCTTCACTTGACGAACTCTTATCTAAATTCATATCTTCCATATTATGATAAGATAGAGAAAAAAAAAATATCTACTCTTAATATGACAATTAAAAAGATTGAAGATTACAAAATAAATATTTAAAAAATAAACTATATACATAACTATAATCAGAAATAAAATAAAACATTTCTTACAATAAATATTTAAATAAAATAAAACAGTCTCTGGAAAAGAAAAAAAAAAAAGTAAATATAATGTCTTGGGTTCGAACTGAAGACCTGATGACTGAATGAAGTTAGTAAACAGAGTCCCCAGCCGTGAACTTATCGGAATATGATAAGGCACGTAAGGGAATTAACGGCCTCTCGATCTAACCAAATGAGCACCAATTTATCACTTATTTATTGTTAATAAATAGTACCTCACCTGTGTGTACGTCAACGTAAAAGTGTAAAACTGCTTATTAACTCACTGTTGTTTAAGTGTTAGACCAAGTTATACTGCACTTGAGGCCATGACACTTGCTACTAAACTTAAACATTAAATTCATATTAAATGTTGTTCAAAGAGATTTCCTTGAGCATTAAGACAGGCTAGGCATCTTTCTTCAACAACTGCAGTGGCAGAACGGCACTGGATATGTGTTATTGTTTCACAAGATTCAATTATCCTTGTTCGTAAGGAATTAAGGTCATTGACCGTACTTGCATAGACTTTTGGTTTAATATCACCCTAAACAAAAAAATCCAGTGGAGTCCAAGAAACTGGTTCTGCACGACCAATCCATTGATTGGGAATAATTAACATTCCCAAATTAATTAATTTGGGGATTAATTAACATTTAGCCATTGTCATGGACCTCTTCCGTAATGTGCAGGACAACCATTTAATTGAAGCCACATGTTCCTTCTCAGTTGTAGTGGAATATGTTCAACTAAATCATAGTGATCATTATTAAGAAATTCCAGAAATGTGCCCGCATTGAGTCGAGGCGGCAAGAAATGCGGACCTATTAAAATATTGTCTATTATCCCCAACCACACATTGCACTGACAATGATGTTCACGAATTACATGTGGATTTTCCTCTGACCAGAGATGATTATTTTTCTGATTGAATATACCTCTTATTTTCCTGTAAATAGCTTCATCTGTCCAGAGAATTTTTCCTGAAAATTGTGGATTATGCTTAACTTAATTTAAGTACCAATCTGAAAAATTTCTCCTTTGCTGAAATTCTTGCGATAATAAATTTTGTACCCGTTGATAATGATATGGGTGAAGCCCATCTGTAATGAGAGTTCTCCATACTGTAGTTGGTGTAATATTTAATTCTGTTCCAGCCCTTTCTTCATTTCGTAAGGGGGCAAAAATACCATCAGCACATGGTATTATAGCAAATGTACCAGTTTCTCTAAGACGATGAAATGTGGAGCTAAAGATAGACTTGTTTGATAATCTTCTATCTGGAAATTGCCTGGCATATTCACAATGGGCAGCATTAGCATTACCATTACCATTTCAAAAACCGTATTCGAACACCATATTGGCATATTCACCATTAGTATAAATGGAAGGCATAATGATGAGTACTCTGTGAAAGCCTCTTACAAACTGATAAATGTTATAGAGAGTTCCAAATATTAATTCCAAATAGTATTAATCCTTCTGCTACCATTAGTTTTTATACAGTTAGGGATAAAAGTCCATATAAGTATTCTATCTAATCCATCTCTTAAACAAAGCGTTTGCGGACATACTTTCACTTTGAACAACATTTAATATGAATATTATTGTTTACATTTAATTAATTGAGTAATTAAAACAAATAAATAGGATTTATTTATTTCATATAATGTAAATAATTCATATCATAACAACAAAAATCTTTATGTGTGAATATCTCCTAAACAAAGTGTTTGTGGACATGCCTTCAGAGGAAATATTTTTCTTGTTTTTGAAGTCCTTAGTTCATTTTTGCAGTTTGGCCACTTAACCCTGAAACACCTTTCTTTATTATTGCTCTTATTATTGTTATTATTTATGATTAGAATGGATTGTACATTAATGGGTTATTTATTGTTTTTGTTATTATTGCCTAGGTAAAAATAAATTTTTTCTTAAAAAACGTTTGATTATTGTTAATAGGTCCTGCTCCGGATGCATGCCTTACATTCGTTCAAGAGAGTCCTGTGGCAAGCATCATTGCCATGTATTATACTCTGCATGCTGCTAAGCAAAGGGACAGGGTGGGTCTCATGAGAGTCCTCGGCATTCTAGCTAATTGTGAACGAGCGTTCGATGATCCGTTTCTCCACTTTCTGGTGAGTTTTCCATCTTTACAGATTACTTTTTTTCAAATATACCATGGTATGTTCTACCATGTTCTGTTGAGTTAGTGTATATATATAGGGGCAGTACACCTGCACTCTCACATTGGACGAGGGTTTCATCATCCAGGGATCAGCCTGGGAAACCATGGCAGCAATATGTAATTTAATTATTTAGTTTTCAAGGTCAAAATTATCTAATTCATGAATAGCCATTCTAATCTTCACAATATTGACTGTAACGTGCTTAATTAATTAGATAATTTTTTATCATATACATTCTAACACTGCATAACTCAATTTTTCCAACTTTACAGGAGGTACAAAAACCTTCACAATTTCGTTTGTAACAACCTTCTTTTTATAAATTATTCTGAATTTATAGCAAAGGTCGGTGCTGCTGGCTGGCCACTTTAGGGTATGTAAGAGGTGTGTTAGAAAAATAATGAGACAAATTTTTTATCTACTATAGCTTTAATTTTGTTCTAACTACAATTTTGCCCCCTTCAATGTAGTTCCCTTTGACAGCTGTACGGAGTCATTTCAAGTCTTGGTAGCAGCTCTAAATTCCCTAACTGATAGAGCCTTTTAAATGTCATTCACATTCTTTTAATGTTCTTCAGAGTTCTAAAATTATGTCCCCTTAAGACATTTTACAGTTTTGGGAAAAGATAAAAGTCACAAGGACTCAGATCTGGTGAACAGGGAGGCATGAGAACAAAAGAAATTAGTTTCAAAGTAAAAAATGCCATGATTGAAATAATTGTGTGAAGAAATTGTCAGGAGTCAAATTGTCAAGTTTGACTTGCCACTCATCATTCTTATTCTTAAACAACAGTCTGATCTCACAAGTTTGACGTTTATATCAGTATATGAAGTTGAAGGTTCATCTTCAACGTGTTCTCGGCTTTCAAAAATGATTTGTGTCAGCAATAAACTTGTGTTTTTGTAAGAAATGTTCCTTAAAGGCCTGTTTAAAGTTTTTCATGGTCACATCCATGGATTCCTCTGAACTTAACACAAAACTTAATGGCTTAACTTTGTTCTAAATTCTGCTGTTCCATTTTCTTAACATAGAACAAAAACACAACTTAACTGCAGGCACTCTTAAAAATTTCATGATGGCTGTATGGAGCTAAAACTCAGACTGAACATCTGGAAGAGATGAAAAACTTGTCTTGACAAGTAGAATAGCACAGCATTGCCAGATCACTTGCCATGTTATCAGTTTCATTACTTTCCTTACACATTTCATTAACTCAGTCGCTAATCACATTTGTAAAATGTTGTGCATAAAAAGAAATCATTGCAGATTCAAGTGGGACATGGTACTACATATTCCTCTAGGTTGTCAATTATGTACCTTTTTGTATTAAGGCTCCATTTCAAGAACACATGGGGATCAATCTTCGTCTCTGCAATGATCACACCCCAAACCAATTTTGACCCACCATTAAGATACAATTTCTTGGAGAGAGGGATATATCCTTGTTCTTTTGGGAAGATAGAGAATTCTAGTTAAAATAGGCAATCTATGAGGTTATTGTAGTTATAAGTAAAACCAACCAGATCAAAAATATCTTTGGTATGCACTATTTCGGTTGAATTCAGTCATTTCTTTCAACTTTTGAATATAATTCATGTTCACCAACTAATAGTACATCATCATATCACTTTTTTATTATTTCTTATATTGTTCAGTATTTAATCTAGAAATAATTTTGAATTTGAATTTATCAGATTTTAAACAGCGATTTGTCACGTGAGCCAGAAAAGAAATATTGGTTGTTTTAGGTTATTATTATTTTAATATTCAAGAGGATTGGAACAAATTCAGTTTAAAAAAAAAAATGCATAGTACTTTGTTTCATGAGGTAATCATTTAGGTCAATAAAATTATGTTTCATGTTTAGGTTTCTTTACTTATCCACATGGGTGATGAGTTTTCGACTGAAGATTTCTGTACGGTGATATTCGATGAGTTCTTCTATACCGGCATAACGAGAGAGAATGTTATTAGGCATATCTTGAAGCTGCTCTGGTACATCTATCCAAAGTTGCCACAGGCGAGATTGTATACCTTGATGAAAAGTCTAACTCCTCTTCCTCAGGTATTATTTAATATTTATAAACAAGTGATTATTCTTTTAATTTGTTTAAATTTTTATATTTTCAAGGGTAAAGCTTTCTCAGCCTTATCAGAAATATATTTTTACAGAAATATATATTAAATCTTTCAGAATAAATAAATAAAATTCTTAACAAACCTAAGGATTTGACACCATTAATTCCAGCAGTGTTTACTTACAGATATTCTTTCACTGCTTTCTATCAAACCAAAATTCACCCACTTTTAATAAAATATGTTAAAAAAAATATATGTATTAGAAATCGACTGATACCGATATTAAACGCCGATTTGCCGATATATAGGCCTGGATTTTTTTTTATTTCATCTCAGATTTTCAGCAGACCAATTTTAATTAATAAAATTAATTTTGGTTTAATTAAAGACCAAAAAACGGCCTTATGACCATAATTTGATGTAATTGGATTGGTAGTGTTGGACCAATTTTTATTTAATTTCCTTTTTCTGACCATTGCCTTTCTCTAATTTGGGCAAATACCAATTTATCGGTCTCACGACCTTATTTTCTCAAGATTAGTAGAGTTTGATTTCTTCTTTTTTATTTATTTTTTTGTGTGCACCCCTGCACAATTTTCTGGTCATCCGTTTAAACCGATATGTCGATATCTTTCACATTGAATATTATTTTTATTGCTCATAATGGATCACTTATTCGTCAAGGGATCAACATAAACATAGATAGATAGATTTTTATTTATTTTTTGGGGGGTTCTCCATACAAATAGAGCCTAGCTTGGCTATTGTAGAATAATATAGTTTTACATGTTACATAAATATCATTTAAATATAAATAAACTTTACAATTTTACGTTTATAATGGGTTTTACAAAGCATGAAAAACTATAAAAATTAAAAACATAAAACGATTGCTGCGTAATAATAGTTAAATGAACCTGTTACTATGATAGAATAATAAAAAATAAATATATTTATTTATACAAACAAAATATTACTTTTAACATAAACTAAAAACAAACACTTAATAGAACATGGTTAAGATTAACAATTTTGTGAATGCGCTTTGTGTTATAATAGTATAAACTTTGTTTACTATAGTATCACATTCTTTTAGTGTAAATTTAAATAAATTTTTTAAACCATTTATATTGCAAAACAAAATATGATGTCCATGTTGTTGTACATTATTGGGGTAGATGGTTTTACCGAGTCCTTTCAATGAATCGTGAACAGGTATCAGGCCGGAGGAGATGGGTTCGGTCCGTCAGGACGATTTACCCGTTGCTGAGACTGATGAGCTTCATGGTCGAAATTTAAATTTATCTAGACTATTTTCAGCTTTTCTTTTCTTTTTTGTTTGTTCTTTATCGGATGTTTGCAGTGTGCCCGCCTGTGATAACGATATGGAGATATAAGCTTCAGATTCATTGATTATGTCATCTAATTCTTTCATTTTATAGTATGACCCTCTTATTTTGAAAAAACCTTTCCTATAAGACGCATTGCTATCAATAGTTTTTAATTTGATTAAGCATGTGTGAACTTTTCTCCCTTCTTCTCTTTCTTCAGGGGTCTTATCATGACTTAAAAATATGTTTTTATTTTTTAAAATATCTCTGCACTTAAAAATCTTTTGTTTCAAAATATTATTGTTGAGTGACACCAATATTGGGCCTTTCCGAAGTATATAACAGGTGTTAACTGCATAATCTGGGATCGTTATATCACACACCGTGAAGCTGTCTATAACTTTATCGAGTTTATTTTAATTTTCACTGAAAGGGATGTTATGGATCAAAAAATTATTCTTTTTTATCTGCCACTTTAAAAAATTAATTTCCTTTTCGAGTTTAAAATTCTTTTACTCTAGATTTTGGCAGGTATTCTTTAACTGATCACATTCTTTTAATACATCACCTATGAGAAAATTATTAGTTTCGAGGGATATTTTCATTTCATTAATAGCTCTCATTATATCATCGTTGGAACACATTATTATGAAAAATATACGTAAGTGCTCGGCAGTGATTTGATACGGTAAAGTGACACTGACCTACAGCTGGAGCGGGTGTGGTGGGAGTTTGCAGGTTCAGTTCAGTCCACTGATAAGCGGCCCAGTCCTTGCAGCAGGATAATTTCTTTACAATTTTCTCCTATCAAAATTGCTCGGTGAATTTTAACGATGTTTGAGAAATGAGTTACTGACAGACAGAACTACAACCGTGTAAACTTTGAACTAAATTAGACGAAAAAGAACTGATGAAAAATGAGAACAACTAAGACCCGATGTATACTCGTTGTCGGCCGTGGCTAGACTCCCGGGATCAACATAAACATGAATTTAATAAATGCCCCATATATCGGCCTTAAAACATTATTTTATGATCATATTTTAATAAAATAGAATTGGTAGCGTTGGACCAATTTTGATTTAATTTGATTTTTCTGACCACTCCCTTTCCCTAATTTTTGCAAATACCAAGAAAAAAAGAAGGATCAATCCTTAAAATCGAAGCCCTAATTATAAGTAATGGATCGTTATTTTTTTTTTATTTGTGTATTTCTCAGTTAGTATTTATATTTAATATTACATTTATTGCAGCATAATGAAGCAGTCCATTCATTGTATGAGAGCCTTCAAGAGAAGATTGGAAGCCAGCAGGAGCCACCACTCATTCCTCCATCTCTTGACTATCTTGAGTCGCCATTAATGAGTGTGCCAACACCAGCTCCACTGCACTAGGCTGCATTAGAAATTTAGTTTTAATTTGTGCAATCACTAGATGTTTCTGTGTTAATAAGAGAGAGATTTCATAAATGAACTTCTTTAACACAGTTCACTATGTTAGTACAAATGTGTGACAATATTAGTATATTGTGTAAATAAAGTTGTTTAAAACTTCGCTATATTACCCAACATTCCTATTGGTCCTGTCAAATCTAGATTTATGCATTTATGCATGCATCTAGGTAGTATGCTTCCAGCAATCAGTTTGTTACTGTTTAAAGTCATTCTCAATGACTGTTTTTATATTTACTGAAATATATGTTTTGTTGATATCTCTTTGTTAGTTATAAGATATATTTTTGAATAATAAAATTTTTATAATAAGCATTATTGATTCAATAAAAATCCCAGTTCTGTATAATTATTTGTTCAATAATCTACATTTATGATAACTAGTATTCGGAGTAAATACAGTAAACGTGAATGTGTGAATTCTATAAAAGTTTTTTTGGTGATACTAGGTAGAAACATTTTAGACCCACGTTGTTGAATTTCAAATGTGCTCTAAGTGTAGATAAAAAATATTTTTATAAATTTTAACATTTTTTTATATTATTCTTTTTGGCCTTTGCTTTGCTTGGATTTCTAGGTTATAATATATCAATAGATTTGTTTTTGTGGTAAAACAAGATATAAATATTACTGATTGTATTAAACAAATTCAAATTTATAATAAATTATAAAAACCAATTGGCACTTACAATAAAGTGGGCCAACTAAATTTTTGTCATAAAAAATCTATTCAAGATTTGTAATTAGCATCCTTTAAAACTTTTAAATTTAAAGTTATTGAAAAAATAAAATTAAAATTTTTAGAGTTGATTTTATGACGACTTTTTTTAATGGTGTTTACTAAAGTATTCATAATAACACCTCAGGCATAGACTTCGGCAGTGGAGGAGGAGGGGGACAAGATATTTTCTGTTCCCTTAATATTTTTTGAAAATGGCCAGCCATTTTGTTTCCTTAAAATAATTTTTTTTTTTGTTTATTTAATGAAATTTACAACTGTGTACAAATACAACTAGTAAATATGCGCAAATTATAAATAATGGCATGTACAGGTTTGAAGAGATACTACCCAGTGGTAGCACTCTCTAATTATTTTAAGTAAGAAGATCACGAGGCCATCTCCTTTTCAGACACCTAGGAGGATTATCAGGGATCGAGGAAGAAGCAAGAGTGGAAACAAGCGGATTTGGATGGGACTGGAGTTTATCATGAAAGGATAGATATCTGGCTCGAGCTAAATCAGCGTTAAAATAATTGTTTACTTTAAATAACTTAAACATTGCAATAAACCGTATGGATTATAATTTTATTATTGATTATTGAGATATTAATTTATGTATGGTTTTCTACTTCTTTTCCCTCGAAATTTGTAACAAATAAGTACAAAACTTAATTTTCTTTATGTTCATAATACCTAGAATATTCATAAACATAGAAGTCGCTATGACATTCATATAGACAAAAATAATTTGAAATATTATTTAACTGACCTGGACTCTTAGAAAGTAAAAAAAAAATCAATCTTTCAGAACATCATTGAACTATTTTTATATTGCAGTCTGTAGAAGTGTTATTTAAAAACCCCTAGTTTTGTTAACAAAAAACCCATATAAAACAATTTTCAGAAATTATAATATATTTTTCTAGTTCAGCAGAATGATTATAAAAACTTGAAAAAGTTATCTGCAACCATTTTGTACGAAGTAATTTTTTAAAACCTACTCGTCCCAAATTCCACATAACTACTTGATTTTCAATTGAACTATTGAATAAAAACAGTGAAAAATGTATATTATGCCTACTCAAAATATTCCAACCTCCAAAAGGTATCAATGAAACAGTTTTTGGAGTAAAAAAAAATTAATATTAGCCAATGTTGCAAAATTTATTTTACTCATCCTACTGTGCAGCACTGTTAACCTTGGCTTCTTGGTAATATTTCTTAAGTGCTGGCGCCTATGTCAGGATTTTATCCTGATTCAACATATAACCACAAAGAATAGAATGAAAATAGAGCTGCTATCAACCCTTTAGCATCCAGGTGGGGTTGGTCTCATCCCCTCACCACGTTATTATCTACCTTGTCCACTTGCTGATCCAGCCGGGGGGAGGGGGGAGGGTACGCCCTGGAAGTTGAAAACAACTCCAAAAAAAGTTCCAAAATGCAGTTATTTATACTTACTTACTTAATCCAGTCCTCTTTTACCGCTGAGCAGTGTGAGGTTCCTTCTTATAGAGCCTGATCCACGAATCTCTATCCTGTGCCAGCTGTCTTCTCCTACTCCAGTCCATTCCTCTCCTGTCAAAGGCTTCTTTAACTCCTTCTTCCCATCGTCTTCCTTGTGGCCTCCTTCCCTCCACTTTGACCTCGTAGGTAGCTCTGGCAATTCTGTTTTCAGCCATTTGCGAGACATGTCCAAACCACCTAAGTTGGTTTTCTTGGATTATCTCCTCTGCAGGCCTCAGGTCCAGATTACCTCGTATGATCGCATTCTTAACGCGATCTCTTCTTGTTTTCTCCTCTATTTTCCTTAAATAGCGCATTTCCATAGCTCGGATTGGGCTTTTGTGCTTGGCAGTGAGGGTCTAAGACTCGCTTGCATATGTCAATATAGGGAGGAAAGTATTCTTAAAGACACTCAGTTATTTATAGAAAAGAGAAATACAGGGAAAATTCATCCTTATAGACGAATTTCCTAAAATGACATGAAAACAAAATTATTATTGTGACCAGCAAAAGTGGATTCTGCCAGGGGGCGCGCCCTTCCTTGAATATGAATTCTTATGTGATATGAAAAAAATTATTACCATGACCAGCAACAGCGGATCTAGCTGGGTGGCGTGCCCCTCTCTCTCCTGGATGTTGAGAAAAAAGTTCCAAAAAACAGCTATTTAAAGAAAAGAGAAATGTAGAAAAAATCATCCTTTTTGACGATTTTTCTAAAGTAATATAAAAAAAATTACTATCCTGACCAGTTCTAAGGAATCGAGCCGGGAAGGCGCGCCCCTCTCCCCCTTGGATGATGGAAAAAAGTTCGAAAAACATTTGTTTAATGAAAAGAGAAATATAGGGAAAATTCATCCTCGTAGACGCATTTTCTAATGTAATATATAAAAAAAGTTATTATCATGACCATTTTTATTATCATACTGTTTATCAGTCACCTCACCAGGCTATGGATAAACTAGCGGCCGGGCCTTTGGCGCAAGGCGAGATTTTGTGAAACAAAGAATAAAATGTAAGAGCAACAGTTCCCTCATAGGGTGATATAATTTTTGGGACGCCGTAAGATGCGAAGGCTTGTGCTCCTTTTGCAGTTTGTTCCTACTGACACCGAACTGAGTCTCGCTGATGAAATACGAAAACGATGGAGGAAAATAAAAAAAAGAAAATGGATTTTATTTATTCGAGCACAAGAAAATAAGATTTTTCTTCCGGACCCAGTTATTCAGTTCCAATAGATGTGGACGCATTGCAACTATGGTCTTCTGGAAGAATCCTTACAATTCATAAAACTGGTCACGATAATAATTTGTATATTTCTCATTAGAAAGTGTTTTTATTTTCTTAAAATAGCTGCTGTTGGCAAATAGTGCCTTCATGAAGGAAGGTACTAATTATTTGGTCTCCAATATGGTCGGAATCGGAATTTATTCTAATTTTTTTTTAGAGAGCTCATTTCCAAGCTGCAGGACAATTTATAGCAATCTGTTTTAGATTTTGACAAAGTTGGAAAAATTAGCGTTCGTTAACCGTGTTTATCGACCACATCAGTTAATCAAATTATTAACTCTAGGTACTCGTTCGACTCACAATTTAACATTCTTTAATTTCTTAAAGAATATGTTTTTCGCTTTGATGCACTGTTTAGTAGTAATAGATTAAAGTAACAAAAAAAAAAAAAAAAAAATCCGATAAATTTGGCTTTTTTATCGCTGTAAAAAGTTTTTTCTTGGTGATCTGTGTTAGCAATTTCGTTTTGTCTAACATGTCTAAATCTATATACAGGATGTCCCATAAGTTGAGGGGAATATTTAAAGGAGTGATATAAGAAGTCAAGAGCTACAAAACATGTTTTTATAAGAAATATTTAAATTTACAGCAGAAAAGTAAAGTTTTGAAGTCACATTAAAGTAAGTCACGTTTTTTATTGAATAGGAAGTGATAATTAAAAAAACTGTTAATTTAAATAATTAACGATTGCTTCACTGAGAACTAGACAAAATTTACTTTAAATAATAATAGAGTTTGTTATTGTTAAAACCATTCAAAGAGTACTTTTGAGCGGCTAAACACAGCTAAGGAGTGGGGGGAGATGGGTAGTGGTGGGGGAAAATTCCTGGATCCGCCACTGGCCTTGTCTGCTGGTTTATATGATTTCCTTAGATTTCAAGATATCTTAGCTTTTTTTTTTTAAATATAAGCCGAAAAAGTGATTAACCTTCGGCTTAGACATTTTATATATTAGTCATTAAAAATGTAAGCGAAATGATTCACTGTAAAAATGACAATGGTATTTTTGAAATCTACTCGCGTTTATTAGCTTTCATTTTATAATATAAAGCCCTATAGGTGTGTCTCTATTTTTGTATAACTCTCGATTTGCTAGCTTATAATGTTTGTAGATTTATTGGCGTTAAGCAGTAATCACAAAAATAACTGCTAGGAATAGTTTTGAAATTTGTTGGGGGAAAGGCAAGGAATAATTACAGGTATTAAAAGTGAAATGAACCAATAAAGCATTTTAATTTCATTTAGAAGAAACACAGCAAATCATCAATTTTATAATAAATAACAAAAGATAAACTAGCTAAATTTACAAAACCCGCTGATAAAATTAATTATTTACTGTTCTTTGAAATGTATTATTTTTTGTCTCACTTTTTGACTTTCAACATTCTGATTTATTTCAAATGTTTTTAATTCTTATTTTAGAATAATCTTTAACAATAATCTCTATTAAACAGCATTTGTGGTTATGCTCCGAACTTAAGAAAAATGAGGCATATCTATAAAGAAATTCATATCCAAACAGTGCGAAAGTAATTTTTGATATACTGATTTCTAAATATGCTAAACTTTCTAATTACTTGATTACTAATCTGTCAGTAATGTATTTAAGTATAATGATGTATCTACAAAAGTTTTGAAATAAAAACGAAGTTATGGAGGAGCTAAAAATGACAATAATTTCAGTTTTGATTTAATATCTAAGCTAAGCATTAAAAATAACTAAACATATATGGCTAATACGGTTATAATATACATATATACATGATAATGGTCTAAAACGTAGCATGAACCATATTAT